GGAGACCAGGCGGGGGGGCCCCCCCCCCCAATCAGGGTGGTAGATTGGGGGGGTCCCACGTGCCCCTGTGCCCGGGGAGGGGGTGACAGCCACCTCTGTGTCCTGCAGGTGACGGGCAGGTGGACTTTGAGGAGTTTGTGACGTTACTGGGACCCAAGCTGTCCACCTCGGGCATCCCGGAGAAGTTCCATGGCACGGACTTCGACACTGTCTTCTGGAAGGTAGGGACCCCCCAAAACCTGGGGGCACCCAGAGCACCAGGGATGGCTCAGGGCCCAGGTCAGGGTTAGGGTCAAGGTTGGGGTTAGTGTAAGGTTGGAATGAGGGTCAAGGCTGGGGGTAGGATTAGGGTCAAGCTTTGAATTTGATCTAGGGGTTGGGGTCAAGGTTGGGTTTGGGGTTAGGGTCAGGGGTAGGATTAGGGTCAAGCTTTGAATTTGATCTAGGGGTTGGGGTCAAGGTTGGGTTTGGGGTTAGGGTCAGGGTTGGGATTAGGGTCATGCTGGAGCTGAAGTCAGGGTGAGGGTGAAGGTTAGGATCAGGATTAGGGTTAGGGTCAGGGTTAGACCTGGGTTAAGGGTCAGGGTCAGGGTCAGGTTTAGAATTGATTTAAGGGTTAGGATTGGGGTTAGGGTTAGGTTTAGAATCCATCTAAGGTTTAGGGTTAGGCCTCAGGTCAGGGCTAGGTTCAGGTTTAGGGTTGGGGTTAGGGTGAGGGTCAGGCTCAGGCTGCAGTGTGGGGTTAGTGTAAGCTTTAGGCTGAGGGTCAGGCCACACCAGCCTGAGGCTCTTCCCTCTCTGCCACATCCTGGGGCGCTGGGTAGTGCCAGCACCCACCGGGTGCCCCTCGCAGAACCGCCAGCCCCGCTCTGTGGGGAGGGATCAGCGGGACACCAGCCCTGTCCCTGCCGAGAACGGGGGGGCGATCCATCCAAAACACAGCGGGTGCCCCCGGGTGGGGGGGTCAGCCCAGCCGAGCCCCCCCCGCCGCCCGCAGTGCGACATGCAGAAGCTGACAGTGGACGAGCTGAAGCGGCTGCTCTACGACACCTTCTGCGAGCACCTCTCCATGAAGGACATCGAGAACATCATCATGACAGAGGAGGAGAGCCACATGGGCACGGCCGAGGAGTGCCCCGTCGACGTGGAGAGTGAGTGCCTGAC